CTTCGGCTGGCTGCCAACATGAAGGCTCGGCAGATCCACATCAAATGCGACTCCAAGTTGGTCGTTGGCCAAATCTCCGAAGAATATGAGGCCAAGGAGGGAAGAATGAAACAGTACAAGGAAGCGGCCAAGGAGTTGCTTAAGGTATTTGAGGCACACTCTCTCACTCAAATACCGAGGGATCAGAACTCCGAGGCCGACATATTATCTAAGCTCTCGGCCGACTCCCCCGAGCACATCTCCAAAATTGCCAAAATCGAGGAACTCAGCCTCTCAAGCATCCATGCAAGCCCCGTGATGAACATACAACAACGCCAAGAGGATTGGATCTCAGATATCACCGCCTTCATCTCCACAGGGCAGCTACCCGAGAATGAGGCCCGCGCTAAACTGGCAAAGCTGAGGGCTCCCAGCTACACCATTGAAGATGGGAGGCTCTACAAACGATCCTACAATGGCACGCTACTTCGGTGCCTTCATCCAGATGAAGCCGAGGTCGCAATGGAAGAAGTGCACAGTGGCACTTGCTCAGCTCACCAGGGACCCTTCTCCATGTCCCGAAGGCTCATCCTCCAGGGTTACTTCTGGCCAACCATGGCCAGGGATTGTGCTGGCCTTGCCCGGAGGTGCACCGCGTGTCAACATTTCCAGAAAGCCCCCGGCAGGCCAGCGGTCAACTATGCCCCCATCAGCACATCTGTCCCTTTTTCTCGATGGGGGATAGACCTTGTGGGCCCTCTGCCGAGGGGTACCTCCAACAACAGGTACATCATTGTGGTCGTCGACTACTTCACCAAATGGGTGGAGGCTGAACCCCTCGCCAACATCACCGAGGCAAGGTGCCGTCACTTCATCCTCAAGAACATCCTCACAAGGTTTGGCGTCCCCCAGCAGATCATCTCCGACAATGGGACACAATTTGAGGCAGCCCCCTTTTGTGCCCTTCTGGAGGCATGGGGCATCAAACACACCTTCTCCTCCGTTGCCTACCCTCAAGGCAACGGGCAAGTAGAGAATGCCAACCGGACCTTGCTCGAGGGCCTCAAAAAGAAGCTGGAGGCCGAGGGCGGTGGCTGGGTAGAAGAACTTCACAACATTCTTTGGGCCCACCGCACCACCCCTCGGCGAGCTACAGGTGAAACACCCTTCTCCCTCTGCTACGGTTTTGAAGCCAAAGCTCCTACGGAAGTCACCCTTCCTACCCGAAGGGTGATCCAGTATGACCCCGAGGTCAACGACAGCAACATGGCCCTCGACCTCCACCTCATTTCAGAACGCCGGGAGCAGGCCTTCGTCCGGGCAGAAAACTACCGAAGGCAAGTTAAAAGATACATCGACGCCAAAGTTCGAACCCGAGAATTTCAAGTGGGGGACTATGTCCTCCGGAGGAGGGAAGCCAGCCAACCAACCGAGGGAGGAAAAATGGCACCAAAATTCGAAGGCCCCTACATCATAGCAGCCATCATCAAACCCGGGACCTACAAGCTCAAACGCCCCAATGGGAAAGAAGTCCCTAGGCACTGGAATGTACACCATTTGGTTAAATTTTATCAATAATGTAAGAGCGGCCAAGCCCTCATAGCTAATGAATGTACTATCCAATGGCCCAAGGCCTCCAATTTCGAAGAATGAAGATACATTCAAGGCATCAAGCCCTCATACTGACTACAGGCCCCAGGCCTCACCACAAGAAGAACCCCCTCCGGCACGCAGTGCCGAGGGCGGACACCATCAACACCTACAACAAACAGTAGAAAACACCACGTGTTCTCAGTCAAAGACCCCTCGGTACCAAGTACCGAGGGGAGGAACTTCTATCAACAAGGAACGCCATGTGTTTAATTTCCCTTCGGCACCCGGTGCCGAGGGTACACCTCCATCATCAAATATCGAAACGAAGAAAGAACACCAAGTGTTCCTACAGAAGACCCTTCGGCACCCGGTGCCGAGGGTACACCTCCATCATCAGACATCGAAACGCAGAAAAAACACCAAGTGTTTCAAAGAAGACCCCTCGGCACCCAGTGCCAGGGATATGCTCTCCTAACAGCTTCCAAACATCTATTGGGAAACACCAAGTGTTTCACATGAAGACCCTTCGGTACCAAGTATCGAGGGTAGACACCTCCATCGACTGCAACAAATGAGAACACCAAGTGTTCCTACAGAAGACCCCTCGGTACCAAGTACCGGGGGCTACACATCGAAACTAACACCAAGTGTTGTTTCTAAAAGCTGTACCCCACGAGGACGCATATACCGAAGGCGCCACCATCGGTGCCGGCGGCACGTAGTGCCCCCGGCCATTTGCAACTAGTGTGCAAATGAAAACCCTTCCTTGAAACGTTTTCCGCGTCACTACCCCCAGGATATGACAGGCATGAGAAATACCCAGGATTCGACTTTCAAAAACGGAACGCTATCCGCGTCATTACCCCCAGGGTATGACAGGCATGAGAAATGCCCAGGATTCGACTTCCAAACCGAAACGCTCCCCGCGCCACCACCCCAAGGGTGTGGCAGGCCACAGACTATGTCTAGCGCCGAGGGGACGACTTTCAAAAATGAGGCGCTTTCCGCGCCATCCCCCAAGGGGAGGCAGGTTACGGACCACCATATCTTGTGCCCAGGAAACGTCCCTCGATCCCCTCGGCACTCGGAAGGTTAACCCGAGGGAGGAGAGCCATTGGTGTATTCTGATGGTCTCCTAATAGGCCCAGCCTTACCAAGAAACCAAGTTTCTTGATGCCTTCCCTTCACCACCAACCAAAAAAAAAAGGGTTGAAGGGGAGTAGACTCAGCGAGAAATCAAAGAGTACACTCCAACAAAATCACAACATGCCGAGGCCTCCTCACGGGAACACCTCAGGTAATTGAAGACTCCTATTTCCCGAAGGATACTACTCAAAGAAATATCATCAGGAAACGGCTAAGTCCACTACCTGGTCACCTCCGGTCACAAAAAACCGAAGGCTTCAACAATACAAAGGGACTGGACTGTCCAAGGTCCACTAAACAGTACTTCAAACAAACAACCGAAGGCATCTGTTATGCACAAATACCGAGGGCCCTTTCCCCATGACAAGGGTCAAATTCTACAACTTTTAAAGTGTATGCCGAGGGCACACACTCTTCATTGGCTTTCTTCACAACAACAGGATTCAACATCAATTTATGCTTAGAAAAATTCTAAGTCCTGAAGGAGCAGCCCCCGGGCACCCGAAGGCTACACAGAGAAGCAGCACTTGAAAAAATTCTAAGTCCTAAAGATTGGGCCCCTGGCCCAATCAATATTACAGTCAAGGGAATATTGTGGCCGAAGGCCATGCAATACAACAACACTTAAAAAAAGGGGTATTATGTCCTGAATGAGTAGCCCCCAGGCATCTCGCAAATTGATGTGGAATCAGAGGGCACCTATCACCCGAAGGCACCCAAGGGAAAATTCCACACTTAGAATATTTTCTAAGTCCTACATGTTTTTCCCCGGTCAACTACTCATACATCAAGGAGGGATGCCATCTCCCGAAGGCTCCCAAGGGAAATTTACACTTAGAAGATTTTCTAAGTCCTACATGTTTTCCCCCCGGCCAACTACTCATACATCAAGGAGGGACGCCATCTCCCGAAGGCTCCCAAAGGAAAATCCACACTTAGAATATTTTCTAAGTTCTACATGTTTTTCCCGGTCAACTACTCATACACCAAGGAGGGATGCCATCTCCCGAAGGCTCCCAAGGGAGATTTACACTTAGAATATTCTCTAAGTCCTACATATTCCCCCCCCCCCCCCCCCCCCCCGGACAGCTACTCATACATCATGAAGGGATGCCAACTCCCGAAGGCTCCCAAGGGAAACTTTACACTAAGAAGACTTTCTAAGTCCTACATATTTCGCCCTCATCTCGAGGGACCTAATTGCCGAAGGCTACCTATCAATCGAGGGCTACGGTTCACAAGGAATCAACACTCAAGAAAATCTTCTAAGTCCTAAAGACTTAGCCCCCGGCCTATTCAATATTACAGGTGGGGCTCCACAGTAGCCGAAGGCTACATGACATACTCACTTCCAAAAATCTCTAAATCCTGTGCATTGGGCCCTCGGCCCAACATTCACACATCAGGAAGGGAGGCCATATCCCGAAGGCTCTCAAGGGGAAATCTACATTTAGAAATTTTTCTAAGTCCTAGAACTTGGATTACTGCAAACACCCGAAGGCCCTAATGTGTGCTACACTTAGAAAAAATTTCTAAGTCCTAATTGCTGCTGGACCCTCGATTGCATATCCAGCAGAGGGTGCCCAACTACCGAAGGCTCCTAAGGGCTAGCTACAATCAGATAGTATTCTAAGTCCTAAGACATACATTCAAAGAAACAAACACATACATTCAAAAATACCGGAGGCATACACTCAAGGAAAACGGAGGCATACATTCAAGAAGAATGGAATTAAAGGGAACAAGTCATATAAACACAGCCCGAGGGAAATCATGCATTCATCAAAAACAAAGTAAATGTGAGATTTACAAACGGGCCGAAGCCGAAGGAACAATGTTGTTCATTACAAAACATGTTCAAAGATCTCTAAGTACAAAGTCATTCTACAACTACAACATCATCGTTCACTGGGGCGCCCTCTGCAGCCGGCCTCGATGATGCCTCCGCTCCGGTCTCGACAGCGTCGTCCTCGGCCTCATTCTTCAACACCGTGTCCTCAAGGTCGGGCCTCTGAACACCTTCCGGGAGCGGCTCACGGACATCAGGCTGCAAGGGAGGAAGGCCATACGCCGAGGGGGAGAAGTCCTTTTGCTCAATGCCCAGATGCCGGGCCATCCTCCGGTAGATGAGGGACTGGGTGAAGAATTCGCCGGCTTCATAGTATTCTCTGCCCTTCCGGGCCATCCATTCCCACCCAGGGCCCTCGGCCCATTCCTCAACGCAGGCCTCCACGACCGAGGACACCCACATCTTGCGCCCCTCGGCTCTCCAACCCTCGGTGACAAAGGCCTCAACGGCCTCCTCCTGAGCCTTGGCGACAGCTAGCGCTTTGGAGTCCTCGGCCTCTTTAGCAGCTCTCCTGGCAGCGGCCTCAGCATCAGCCTTGCCTTTCTCTGCAGCCTCCAATTTCAAGCTCATCTGCCGGAGCTCCTCTTCTAGCTGGGCCCCCAGCTTCACCGCCTCTTGGTTCTTGAGGAGGCACTCCCTCATTCTGGCGTCTTGTTCCGCTCTGTGGAGGCGCCATTCTTGAAGTCTCCGAGCCTGTTCGCCGAGGGCTAAGCAAGCCTGCAGAACAACAACAAAAACAGTTAAAGGCAATCACACAAAAATAATCAAAGGAGAAGATGGAGAAAGCCAGGTAAACACTTACAGAGAGGGAGGAGCGGAGAATGTGGTCCTCGAGGGCCGCATCATTGTAGGCCCCGAGGGCAGCCCTATCCGTCTCAGGGGTCATACCCCTCAGGATGGCCCCCGGGTCGACAGCACCACTGGCCAAAGATGTACCCCTCGGGAACGCGACTGTGAGGATCTCAGGCAGCGACTCCTCTGCCCCCGCCGGCGTTCCACCCGACAGCTTCTCCACCTGCACCCCGGAGGCGGGGTGCTCGTCAGCGATAATGACCGAGGGCTCCTTCTCGGCGACATCCCCCTTTTTCAGCTTTTTGGTAGCCGGGGGGGACCCCTTGGTCACTGCCTTCCTCTTGCCGGCAGCGGCATCGCCCTCGGCTTTCTTAAAGAGGGCAGTGGCGGGCTTCTGGATGCCCTGTCCCGACCCCTTCGGGTCCTGTTTCTTCAAACGAGCAAGGCCCTTTACGTTCACCATAGAGACGGGGATACCTGCACAAAGGAGACAAAGGGTTAGTCCGACGGGTCTAAGCGAAGGGACGATAACATCCAAGCAAAAAAAAAAACTAAGTACAAAATTCTAAAGCCCTCGGCTCCTACCTCCGGCCCCTCCGAAGGCCTTGTTGAAGGGAGGGTACTTTTCATCGGTCTCCCCTATGAAGCGGTACCTCCGGAACCCGCGGGTGTATAAATCCTCCTCGAGGGTGCAGTCTTTGATCGCCACGTTCTTGTTTTTCCCCTCCGGGAACTTGGCCAGCTTTAGGCCGTCTTTCTCGAGAGCGGCACTCCTGATCTTTTCGTGCCTTCGGAATCGGTCACGTAGCTCCCTCGGGAATGGGCTCTCATCCAACTTCACGTAGCACCAACGTTCCCTCCATCCTTTGTTGGAAGAAGGAGCATCGGAGAATAGTTTGAAGTGGGCAACCTGCTGCAGGTTGGCGTACCCCTCGCCGTTTTCGTGCCCCCCCGGCACAGATTAAAGCTCTGGAAGAATAGATCCAGGCTGGGTTTCACCCCTCGGGACTTGCAGAGCTGGAGGAACCCCGCAATGTAGGAGTGGCTGTTGGGTGTGAGTTGGCAGGGGACCAAGCCAACAAACCGCAAATATTCCCGGAGGAATGGGTGCAGAGGGAACCTAAGTCCCATGGAAACCGAAAGGACGTGAATAGCAATACACCCCTCGGGCGCCCTGGACAACACGTCGTCGGGACCTGGCTCCACCACTTCGGCCGAGGGCCCCACGTGCAGCTGAGTCACGTACAGATCTGCCCTGTCGGCCTTCGACCTGATCTCGAGGGCCTCAGTGTTCAGCCAACTGTACCCCTCGGGCATGTCTACGGGCTTTCCTTGATCGACGGCCCTCTCCTTCTTCTTGGTAGCGGCCTTCTTCTTCTTCAAACCGGAAATCGCCCTCAGAGGTGTCGGATTCAACGGCCTCGAGCTACTGGCCTCCCCGGAACCCCGAGGGGGGAGAACAGCAATCGTGACCTTCGAGCTCTCATTCTGTGCCTCATCCTCCGCTGTCTGCCATGCGAGGGCTAAGTCTTCATCATCGCACTCCTGCTCGAAGCCCTCGGCTTCAACCTCCGCAATGAGTTCCTTCTGAACCTCCCGGGCCAGGGCTGCATCACCACCATCCGAGGGTTGACCACTGCTTGACTCCACGTCGGAGATGCCTTCGTCCTCCATCGAGGGCGTCCTCGAGATATCTTGAGAATCACTCTGGGACGACATTCTGACTCTAGTTCGAGGGCTCGTACAAGTAGTGTTTTCTAAATGTTCTATCTCCTAGCCTAAGGGCGCAGTACAGATAGCTAAGAGGTGAAGGGTAACCGGGGAACTGACCTTAAGAACAGAGGATTCAACCGGGGGATGCTGTTTCTCTCTTTAGAAAAATTGGCAGAGCTTCGCTAACAAGTTTTTCGCACACGGAGGAACGCCTGGCCTTGGGGTATTTATAGGCGATGAATCCGGGCTTGGGCCTGGATTCGGGCCTCCGGACGGACCGCCATCATTACACACCGCCGTTTCACCCAACCGGTGACGCCGCCCACGAACAGCCAGCCATCACACGCCACGTATGCCCCCCCAACGGCTATATCCTGTCGTTACATATTCCAACGGCTATATTTCCAACGGCTATATTCTGGAAGCCCCCGGGTTTTCTACTTCACTCCACTTCATCAAGGATTGCCTCCGGGTGCACTCACCCAGAAGTGCCCCCGGGTTGTGCCCCACACAATACATTACACACGCCTTCGGGATCACTCCTTCAGATCCCTAGGGCAGCATATCAGGGTACCCCTCGGGGTTTCCCCCTCAGCACTGCAAAACCGGGTAGCCCCCGGGGAGTGCCTCATTGGCGGAGGGCCCATGGCACACAGGTAATGGGAGCCCTCGGGTATCTTCATCACCAACTCATCAACAAACAGTGGACCCCCCGGTAACAACTTCACTGCTGCCCTCATCTGGCAGGCCCTCGATCCCTGGATTGAGGGGCTCCCCTTCGGCACCACCAGGACATCAACAGCAAGCCTTCGGCGAATCAACACAGGAGCCCTCAGAAGAGAGAGCCTTCGGTATTCCCGTCATTCTCCATTTTTCACCAAGGTTTGACATTTTCGATTCATCATTGGGGGAATTCGGTGCACTCTTTTTCCCTCATTAGGATTTTTTCCCAAAGGGTTTTTCCTAATGAGGTTTTTAACGAGGCATCCCCCCAAAATGAAACGAAAAGCGTCAGCCTTCGGCCCACAACAGCAACGTAACTGCTTTACTCCTTTTCACCACTTTACAAGTGCCTCAAGGAGTGGGGGACTGGAGGACCCCTTCGGGACAAAATCTGTGAAAATCCAACAAACAACAAAGCAAGCCCTCAAGTCCCGACATGTGGGTAACTGAGGGACTGCCTTCGGCAGGGACATAAAAGCAACAACTCCTCACCAACTTCAGAGATCGCGACAGGACAACATCAAAGGGCAAGCACAAATTACTCCTTTTCCCTCAAGTACCTTTCGGCAAAAGGAGTGAGGGACTCCTGATGGAGTATATGGCCCGGGAACCTCCGGCCCACAGACTCCTACCACTCCAGCGAAGGCCCAACAGGCCCAGAAGGCCCAGCAGGCCCAAATCACAGCGCCCAGAGTACCAAGCAGCTCGCACTACGCGCCAGGGGTGCCTTCGGCCCCCCTGGCCGAAGGCTCTAAATTCTCACAGAACGGGTTTCTCAAGCAAACTAAGAAACTGGGAGAAAACGGCGAAAACATCAGCCCTCGGCACTGTGAGCCCTCGGCACCAGGGTGCCATCGGGTGGAAGAGCCCTCGGCTACTGCTCTATGGCCGAAGGTATCTCACTCGACAAGATATCCGCCTCACATGCGTACAGATCACCGTACCCCGCACAGACGTCCCATCCAACAACCGCATTAAATGCGGCCACATGCGGCTGTCAGCGCCAACCAGTTGAGGTGACCCCTCGGCCAATGAGCGCTTGACACGTGTCCCTGCCCGGCATTTATTGCTACTATAAATAGCATCCCATTTCCCCATTTGTAACCACGCTGAACACACTGAATATACTCTCTCTCTACTTTCATCTACTTGCTCTGACTTCTCTCTAGATTACTTCCCGCAATAACCCTTCGGATATATACCCCCGGGTAGACTATCCATCAACAACTATTTAGATGTGTTCGAACAAATGTTCCCTTGTAACTTTTGAAATGTTTTAATTAATAATAAAATCTTAAAAAATAAAAAAAAATTGTTAAAAGATAAAAAAAATTAATAAAATATTTATAAAATAAAAATTTTTAAAAAATAAAATAAAAATAAAAAACGTAAAAAAACAATGGTGCCTTTGTCACCCCTAGAACCACCAGCTCCCATCAAACACTGTTTGGCACTGTTTGAACACTTTTTATTTTTATTATAATTTTTATATTTTTCATTTTTTATTTTTTATTTTTCATAATTTTCACACTTTTTAATAGTTGAGGAAGTGAATTGAATAATTCGGTTGAGTTACTATACTAGCAATCTGGAAGAAGAAACTCAATAAAGGTAGAGGAAGGGACTCCAATATTTTATATTTCATATTTTTGACTTGTATTTTTATTATAATTTTTATATTTTTCATTTTTTATTTTTTATTTTTCATAATTTTCACACTTTTTAATAGTTGAGGAGGTGAATTGAATAATTCGGTTGAGTTCAATTACTTATTTGGCCCATTGAGTTGTCACCTCATATACACTGTTGGGCCCGGATTTGTCAAGCGGATCGGCCCACGTAGCCATAAGAGTTTTACAGAGTCCGGCTTAATCAAATAAGGTGACGGAATGGATAAGGAGGCCTAAGAGGTTGAGGACAAAATGGAGGAACGATTCCCGCTTTAGTAGGAAATGCTACCATTTCGCCGGGTAGTTCATCCACGTGGGGGATAGGATTAAAACTTTTATTTTAAATAGACTAGCGGTAGAAGGGAAGAGGCATGATTTTTGGCTAACTAAATAGACTCATTCTTGTTTTTCATTCGAAGATTCATTAATATTGATTCATCCGTTGATCATACATTCGTTGAATATTATCTTGTACGATTCCCTATCTCACAAATAGATTGTTATTAGAATAATTATTTTCTGCTTAAACAATTTGGCGCCACCGTGGGGCATCGTGCAAGAGAAAGATCATCAATCATGGCCGAAAACAACCCCTTGTTAAAGGAGATCCACACTCAAATGGAGACAGTTCGAGCGGAATTTCGTCGAGAATTGGCGGAAAGGATGGCACATCTCCAGCGAAAAAACAGGCCGCGTCAGTGACTTCTTGCTTCTTTTTCCTCCCATACGCCTCCAATAACTTGATGCGGGTTTTTAGGGTCGAAATTTGATCTGTTAAGGTCGAGTTGTCACCACGAAGACTTTGGATCATTCGAGCATCAACGTCAGCACGAGCTTGAGAACTTTTCTCCTTTCCTTTTAATTCATCCATAGCCTTTTCCAATAAAACCAATCTTTCTGCAGCAACAAGGCTAGCTTGAACACTCTGCCAGCTTGAAAGGATTCTCGTTAAAAGGAAGTTTAAATTTAGACAAATACTAAACATTTATAAAGCGATAAGGTACCTGGAAAGCATAGGCCGATGAAGCCAACACCAGGCCAGCTGAAGAGATATCCGAAAATGCAGCAGACGAGGAGGGAAGCAGAACTTGAGACATTTCACTTCTCATCATAAAAGCGTCCTTCGAACAGCAGAAGTCATGAGAAAAGGAGGCGTTCATCTTCACACCAGAGTCAGAATTGGCGGCGACATTCACTGGAAGAGGAGGAGCAGTTTTCATCTCAATATTCGGGCAATGTGGAGCTTTGGAAGAGCCAGAGGCCAGCTTGGATGGAACTTTCTTTTTTCTCGAAACCATGTTAAGGAGGTCATAATCAGAAGGCATCAGCCGCGTACTAGACGAGGAAACAGTTGTGATAAAAGAAAATATGTACATATATTAACATTCTAGACAAAGCAGCATCTGACGTATAATTGAAGTAACAGAAACAAGTACCAGCATGTTGAGCAGAACGTTTCGCTGGAAGAGGACAGGAGTCCTGACCAACGGGAAACACCATTTTAAGAGGAACAAAGGCACTTGCATTTTCACCACCACCTCTTGAAGCTTCTGATTCATGGTCTGAATCGTCTACGGAGACCGCACGCGAGCCTTGGACATCGTTAGGGACATTCTGAATATTACGGCGAGAACGCCTTAATCCAACGGATCGAGAATGGTCAGGGGTGGGAGACATACCTTCGTTATCAGCCACTAGATTCCCAAAGGTCCACTCGGCGGTGGTTATAGATAAAATTCTGGCAGTCCTTCCTTCAGAGTTCGGACCATAGCTCAATGGGATAGTCTTCCTATCTACAAAAACAAATGATGGAAACGGTAACGCATTTAGACATATTACAGACCAGTCATATAGCAACTAAATACACTTGAAATTCATATGTAAAGCAAGAAAGTGTCAGGATACCTTTATGCAAACTCTCTTCAAGAAACACGCCCTCAGAACCTAGGGAATCTTTCTGTACAAAGAAGAACAGACTCATCCAGCCACGATCATTGGCTTTGTCCGCCCTCAATATCAGCGCTTCGCGAGCATCTTTAACAGCCAGTGTGAACCGTCCAGCTCCAGAAGAACGAAGATCATAGGTGAACCCCAGATCTTCGAAGGTGAAAGGGATGCTGTGTTTTTCACTCAATACTTCCAGCCCACGAAGAACCCTCCATACTTGTGGCATTATTTGGGAGGGGGGAACTTTGACAAAGGCCAAGAAGTCTCTAGCTAAGGAAGAAAAAGGAAACTTCATACCAATCTTGAAGGGATACATGAAGAAATTGACCCAACCATCGCAATGCCAGTCAACCCGTTCGTTGGCGGCCGGAAACCAGATGGATGCATGCGCTGGAAATCCGGAACCGTTCTTGATAGCATCGCCATGGATTCTCACAATGAGTTTCTACAAGAATTAGACGAAAGTTATTTTCGCAGAAGAGGGGTTATGACTGAGAAGGGACTAGTCTGACAAAAGGTTGGTTGATCGATAAAAAAGAAGACTGACAGTTTTGCTTATTTCGAGGTGGCATCGAAATGTTTAAAATTCAAAGAAGTAACCGACCTATTGGATTAAGTTAGCGACGATTTCTACTTCGAATTTTGGGGGCAATTGTTGGGCCCGGATTTGTCAAGCGGATCGGCCCACGTAGCCATAAGAGTTTTACAGAGTCCGGCTTAATCAAATAATAAGGTGACGGAATGGATAAGGAGGCCTAAGAGGTTGAGGAAAAAATGGAGGAACGATTCCCGCTTTAGTAGGAAATGCTACCATTTCGCCGGGCAGTTCATCCACGTGGGGGATAGGATTAAAACTTTTATTTTAAATAGACTAACGGTAGAAGGGAAGATGCATGATTTTTGGCTAACTAAATAGACTCATTCTTGTTTTTCATTGGAAGATTCATTAATATTGATTCATCCGTTGATCATACATTCGTTGAATATTATCTTGTACGATTCCATATCTGACAAATAGATTGTTATTAGAATAATTATTTTTTACTTAAAAACAGTGAATATTTACTTAGAATAATTATTTTTTATTTTACCAATCCCTTTTTTAACCAAACTTATAAAGGGAACAAAAGGCACGAAAGCCATTTCAGATTCACGTTCACATCGCGAAGTTTCAGAATCAATCGTACTTCGATTGAAATGGCTGCGGCGGCCCCGACGGTGAGCCTGAAGCTCCTCATAAACAAGAACGCTAAAAAGGTTGTCTTTGCTGAAGCAGAAAAACCTTTCGTTGATTTCCTGTTCTTCCTCATGTCGCTGCCGCTGGGAACCGTCATAAAACTTGTGACCCAGAAATGCATGGTCGGTGCCCTCGGAAATCTCTACGGCAGCATCGCCGACCTGAGCGACACCTATTTACAACCCGGCACCAAGAAAGACGCCTTCTTGAACCCAAAAGCGCCTAATCTCTCGGTAGAAGTGCCGCTCCTCATGCCGCCGCCTGCCGCCGCCGCAGCCCCGGCGGCAAAGAAGGTGTACTTTTGTAGTACGTGGCGTGCGCAACGGCTATGGCTGCGGCCACACCCGGTCATACTCCGATGATCCTAAAACTATATGTCCCGGCTGTAGAAATTACATGAACGTTGAGGCGACTAACATTACTCCGGTCATAGCGGCGGCGGCGGATTCTTCCAGTAAGGGTGAGGGAGGTGGGTTTGTGAGGGGTGTGGCGACGTATATGGTGATGGACGACCTCAAGGTGATGCCGCAGTCAACCATTTCTACCATTACCATCCTGAATGAGTACAACATTAAAAACTTTGAGGCTCTTGAGGTCAAGGTTGTTCATCTGGATGTCGGTGCGGTACGTCACTCTTTTGTGTTAGAGGTAGTCTTTTTAAGTACTCCCTCCCGTCATTTCTTCCAGTTTTGACTGGATCTGTATCGCAAATTTAGGTAGTGTGAATAAAGTGAAAATGTATTATTGTAGTTGTGTAAGAAAAAGGTGAATGAATGTGAACCATATATCTTTTTAAAAAGTGAAAGAATTAATTGGAACGATCCAAAAAAGAAAGTCGGAAGAAATGACCGAGATGGAGGCAAAAGAAACACATTCATTAGGTGGGCATTGCTTGTATTCATAGCAAAAGATGCCGGTTGTCCCAACTTTGCAGCCGCTTTACTATCCTTTCCTTTAGGAACACCAGAATCTCCCTTTTCTTCTTGCCAATAAGTGTCAGGTGACCAAGTAACGAAGTTAGACCTTAATATGAAGAAAATCTTGAATCTATTAACAAGAGTTTCAAAGTCATACAAACAAGGGAAAATGGAAACTAATAATTCAACTTTTTAGCGGTCTTCTTTCAATAGTTCCACTTTTTCATTATTCATGAATAATCCAACCTTTGCACCTCATATTCATTCATTGGTCCCCGACCGATTTATGACATGTTATTCCAAGTTATTTTCTCATCTTTGTAAAACATTATACCATAATTCTCACCTTATGATCACATAATGTTTTGTAAAGATAAGAAAATACCTTGGAATAACATGTCATAAATCGGTCAGGGTCCGGTGAATGAAGATGGGGTGCAAAGGTTGGATTATTCATAAATAATAAAAATGTGGGATTATTGTTAGAAGATCGTTAAAAGGTTAAATTATTAGTTTCCATTTAACTCCGTATATCTTTACCCTCAATTGCTCATTCAACTCAAAGTGCATCAACTTTGAGTAAATCTATTAACCAGATCGTGACTACCCATTCGTCAATTGGACTGTGACCGATTCACCCCTAGACGTAAGCAGACTAATTAATTCATTGCATTGGCACTGTAGTGTTCGCGTATTTCAAATTTGGATAACTAGTAAAATTCAGTTCTCCAATTCATTAAGTAAGAAAATGACATGTCTTATATATTCGCCCCTAGTTGTTTTATTTATTACTCCGTACCATTTTGCCTTATTCGATTATGCGATAATTTATATGCATCTACAATATAACATTCTTTAATTTATATTGATTTGCATTTTAAATTTCAACATTGTTTTTGGATATTTTTCGATGGTGTGTTTGGTTCATCGAAAATAGCTTATTCCTAATGTTACTCTGTATTATTTGTACGTTGTCAGGGACTGAAGTTGTTGAAGGCCGCTTTACAAACTGATTCTGTTCTCACAAATGTCTTCCTTGAGAACTAGTTGAGGTCGCTAATTGGAAATTATTTTTTGAGTTTAAATTTTAACTTTAACCAAATGTGTGCATTTCCTAGCCAGTGTGTACGATTTCTGGTGCTGCAATTCACTCTATTTTTGGGACAATTATTTGTGATCTACTCATCATTTAAATGTTCAGTTCTTATTAATTAATACCAAGTACTACTTAGGTTGTTGGAGCAAATTGATCATACAAAGTTTTATACAAATTATTTTAAACAAATAATAAATGTTCTTTCCGAAATTCTAGATGATAAGTTTAGTGGCCATAACTTTAATGGTTGACTTCATAATTTTAAAAATGTTCTTGATGTGGATACACAAAGAGTTGGTCCAAGAAAATATGTAGCAGCTCCATCCCCTTAAGAATGGGACAAATATGTGAGATACGGTTTTTAAGTCATTGTGCGGGTAGTATTGAATTGATAAAATGTGAATAAAATAACAATGTATTGTAACCACTCAAATATTACTAAATATGATATGAGACAGACTTAGACCTTGTTTGGTACTTAGTTGTTAGCTTTTAACGGATCAATTTTGCTATAGGTACCCCATACTTACCCCATTTCCTACCCCATATAAATACCTCTTTTTTTACCATCCCTTTTACCCTCTTTCCAAAAACCCTTCCCCCCTCCCCCACTTTTCTTCTCCTTCCCTTTCTCTCTCCTCCATCTTTTCTTTTCACGCAGCCCCCCTCATCCCCTCCCCTTTCTTTTTCTTTTCACCAAAACTTGATTTCTTCTCCATTTCAAGATCTCTTCCCATTAAGTCTTCTCATTTTTACAATCTTTTCTCCCTCCAAGCTTCTTCTCTTGCTTCTCTCCTCTTCTGCCTTTTTTTCCCGTTTCAAATGGAAGAGCTACAATAATCGGACGAAGGGGAGAAGCTCGGTGACGTGGAGAGTTGTGTCTAAGGTAACCATCCCTTCTCAAATCATGAGTTACGTACTCTATTTACGATTTTTCTTCATGTGCGTTTTTTATTTTTATTTTTTCCTTTTTTCGATTTTATGTATATTATGTATGATCTAAAAGTGAATAATTCATTATTTTGTTTCATTGTAATGATTTTGAGGTGTTACCTAATTAAAATTTTAGTGTAATTTCTCTATTTCATTATTTTGTACCTCAATGTTTAATGAGTATTTTTATGGATTTCCAATTTAATATGATATAGTAATTTAATTGATGTTTTGGAAAAGAGTATGTTGTTTTTTTGTAATTTGTTTGTATTTTCTTTGGCGGGCAGACAATTTAGAACTGCAGTGTCTGTCTAGTCTAAAGTGAACACGGTTTTGTCTTAAAGTCTGGGCCAATTAACTACTCTCTGTCTTATAGCCAGACAAATTTTGTCTGATCCAGACATTAGTAGTCTGGGCCAATTAACTACGCTCTGTCTTACAGCCAGACAAATTTTGTCTGGGCCAGACATTAGTAGTCTGGGCCAATTGACTACTCTCTGTCTTACAGCCAGACAAATTTTGTCTGGGCCAGACATTAGTAGTCTGGGCCATTTAACTACTCTCTGTCTTACAGCCAGACAAATTTTGTCTGGGCCAGACATTAGTAGAGTGGGCCAATTAACTACTCTCTGTCTCACAGCCAGACAAAAGTTGGTTGTGCCAGACAACAGTTGTCTCTTCCAGACAAATTGATTATGCCTCACATATGCTATTTGTACCAAATATGTGTTCTGACTACGTTTTGTGTATTAATCGTAGGTATTCACTTCAAGATGACGAATGACTTCAAATGTAAGGTTGAAAAAGAGTTCCAAGCGGACGCTAATTCATTTACAAAAATTATACCAAGTGTGACTTCTTTTGCAATGGAGAAATAAATGCAAGGATGCTGAAGTATATAGTGTTGGGGGAATGTGTTTCACCTATCATAGTCTATTTAGACTTATTTAAATAACTTCTTTACTGGGGAACTCCATACCAACATCGGGGACTTTAATACAACTATATTCTTCTTCTTCATATGTTACTCCAAACAAATATACATGTTCAAAACAATACAAAACATAACACATTATTTTGTCTGTCCACACAGACAATATTATACATGTTTGGTTTTCCCCAAATTCATATGTACAATAACAAATACAGTCATATCTCCGAACACTTATATAACCACATTAACAATTACTAAACTCATCAAAATGTACTATAAAATACAGTTTTACTAAACTCATCAAAACAACCCACAAAAATTCATTCCCACATTAATAACAATTCGTATGCTTTCTCCACCTTCTACAATCGCCACAAACGAACAACACATTGACATCTCTTGTTCCACATGTTTGCATACTCACAACCTAGAATCAACAACTTTCCCATTATCAGGTGTTCTGCAAAGGAAGCCACCATCACTCCACATTCTCCCGACCTGTAGACAGACAACTCAGAAGGAAGGTCAGTCATTTTATATCACATTATAGACAATTTGTTACTACATTGGTAGAGAAGTCAATTCGCACAACGTGCAAGACAATTCAAATGGGTTGCCAGATAACTAATTTTACCTGAAAGACAACTACAAAACTATTTTCAACAATTTAAAATAAATTGACGGACAACTCAAATGGAATGCCAGACAACTACTTTCACATGACAGACAACTACAAACCAATTTTAAACAATTGGATTTAACGTGCCAGAAAACTAATATGCCTTGCCAGACAACTACTTTCACATGACACACAACTACATGTCATCATTAAAGAATGTGACATCACTAAACTCTAGGTTGAGTGATATCACTAAACTTTAGCATTACTGCTAAATGCTAATCTGCTATATGTGTGCATAAACTGTATAAGTGTATACACAAGTAATACTAATTCATTTTTATGTGAAAAAGATACCATCTTCTTTCCAATGACTATTTTTCTTGCAACATATTAGAAAAACTGACCCATAGGCCGTGGGATTGCCAATGAGATGAATGCCTCTCAATTAGAAAAATTGACCCATAGACCTTTCAAAGTAAACTTCACAAACCAAACAGTTACTCTTTTACAATGAAAGAACAGTATGTGTAGGGATATCTTCAGGGAAAAAAGAGTAAATAGAATATGAGCAAACAAAAAAAGGATACCTCTTTATGAATGCCAGATTGAATATCCTCCATCAATGTTCAGGGAAAAAAGAGTAAATAGCTTAGCTAGATCAGCTGATATGTGAACAAGCCTTTGCGGTTGCTTTTCCTTTACGGTCTTCAGAATCCATAATGACTTAAGCAAAAAGAGATATATTTTGCAGTCCATATTAAATGCATAAAATGGAACAAAAGGCACTTACAGTAACAATATTTGCAGAATGACCAAGATATTTCTGAATAAAATTTCCTTCACAGACTATGTGAGTGGCACCACAACCGACAAACCACTGATTTACCAAAGCAGCCCCTTGCACAGAAGCAGCCTCGTGGGGGTCGGTTGAAACGAGAACAGGGTGACTGGGGTGTCAAATTTCCTTTTGGTCAGGTCTGTGACGCGAGGAGTGATGCCGGTGGCCAGAGATCGCAGGATTTGGGAAGGTCTGCGAGAGAGATGAGGGGTGAGGTCAGTGAAGGTTTTGATTTTTCGAAACTTCCTTTGAAGGGAATGAGTGGAAAAGCGGTAGATCTGGAAAGGGATTGAGAGGGAGAAATTTGGACGCACTTGAGGGATTGAGGGAGGCAGGTGGTAAATTTTTTGGAAGGGTATTTATATGCAACCATTCTTGATGTACACACCATGTTTGTGAAGCTTTTTTTTTTGTCTGTGAATCTGGTTCACAGACAATATTTTATTTGTGCAAAACATTGTCTGTGAATCGATGTTCACAGACAAAAAAAAAAGCTTTCACAGACAGAAGTGTGTACAAAAGTGTGTACAAAAGTGTGTACAAACATCATTTTTCATTTATATGGGGTACAAGTTGAGGTAGAGTTGGGGTACCTATAGCAAAATTGTTTAACGGATAGTTGTTTTTGTTTATAACATCTTTGACCGGCTGATTGATTTTGCGGATATGACCAGTTTATTGTGTTGGTTGGTTATCAAAAATTGTTTGATAAAATTAGCTTCTTTTAAATAGTTGTTTCTTAATATAATTTGATATAAGAGTATATTTATAATAGTATATTTTATTTATTAATTATTCATAATTTAAAGCCTGCAAAAAATAATTCAAAATTCATAAATTTTTGGTATATTAAATAAAAGATTAAAAGTGATTTATGTTGACCAAGTGAATAGTAAATGTATCTTATAAATTGGGACTGAGAGGGTATAATTTTATAAAATACTAAAAACAATTTAAAGTAAATTCATAATAATATGATTTAGCTTTGCTTCATGTGTAAATTTACCTATGAAAAGAAAATTAAAACAGCAAAAACAGGAAATAATGACATAGAAGGTTTTAAAAGACAAAAAAATGACCATTTTGAAACTTTACAAAAAAATTGACCCCTGCCTCCTCTCAATCGAGATCTACGCCAGTGAATTGGAGTTGCAAGGTCTCCATCGCAGGTCTCATCTATCGTCCATCATCACCTCACAGCCGCAGCCTGCCCCTCTAGCGGCCGCCGTCTGCCTCCGCTGCTCAGCTCCTCCAGTCGTCGTCGCCCTCCACCGGTCTTCAATTCGTTGTCGATACGCCAATCCAGAGTCCGCCATTAATGGTGTGGGGAGCTTTGCTTGGTCAACTGACTGGTTTGGAGCTTCTTCTCGGATGAAATCCAAACTCCGTCTTTTTAAACATACCTTGAATTTCTCATTTGAGAAGAAGAATTTAAAATCTCAACCAATGATTGATTGAACCAGAGATGATTATCACCATTAATGGCAGTTGGGAGCTCCCATGTAACTACGAATGCGATCCAGGCTTCTTCTACAGGAGATTTTCGAGGCTGAATATCTCGTATAAACAAGGGTGATTAAATGTGTTCAACATCTTGATGTTGGTCCGTGAGCATATACAACATTGTGGTATCAACACGAGAATTCCACTGTCAAAGCTCAGTCTTGAGATTGACTACGATGGACTAGCTTAAAATATTGAGAAAACTGAAATATTATCGGTCAACTTGGGATGGGATTGGAATTGGGGAGGGGCTAGGGACTGGGGTGGGGCTAGGGACTGTCCACGGTGGTGGTAAATGGGTGATGCGGGTGGCGATGTCATTGTGGCTTACGGTGGTGTCGCTGTGACAGTGTCACTGTGGTCGGCGGCGGCGACAGTGACACGAGCGATGACGGTGGAAGTGACAGGGGCATGACGGTGGTGACATTGACACAGGAGACAGCAGTGCGGTGACACCCGATAGTGACATTAAAATGAAACAGTGACATAAATATTATGTTGTCACTTTATTTTAATCACATTTTTGTGTAAATGTAAAAGTAGTCATATTTTTGGAAATTAGCATTAATTTGTTAATATTAAGGGAATAACCCCAAAGAAAAGAGTAGAGAAAACAAAGAAATAAAAAAAGAAAACAATACATATGATTAAAGCGTTGGAAGTTGGATTAACGAGCAAAGAAGGAAAACTAAAAACATGACAAAGGAAATGAAGCCAATTCCAACACGATGCTTGCTACATGCAACATTTATGAAAATGGCCTTTGGATGAATATAGGGGTTGTTTGTTTTTCAGCGGATCCGAGCCAACATGCTGCTTTTGACAGTCTTTTTAGTTAAAAAAACAGCGGTTCCCTCAAACTGCTATTATACAAACGGGGTCATAATCTGTTTCAAAAAGCTGTCTTACCAAATATTTGAGGCGCCACAAATCATGTGCCGCAAATCATTCTTTTTCACCAGTGCAAGAGCAGATGGACTCACTAACCTTGCCAGAGATTTGTAGAGTAACTCTCTTCATAAAAAATCTACCCACCACAAACCACTACAAGAATTTTGACCAAATGTGACAAAAAAAATGTCACATAAACTTCAATTTTTGTCACTAAAACTTTTATATGACGATTTATATTTGTCACAGTGTTCGTCACCGTAGCTCCGTGGCAAAAGATATGTAGTGTGACACTTTTTGAATTTGTCACCATACATATAAGTTTTGATGACGATTTAGCTCGTTGTCACCATTACTTGTCAGTTTTAGTGACAACATATGTGTCACTTTAATATCGATATTTTTGTCATCAAAGTATAAATTTTGTCATCTTTGCTTAGCACATTTGATGACGACCTATTATATTATCAATAAAATGTACTATATAGTGACAACTAACATCATTCTCTAATAAATAAATTGGTTATAGTGACGATAAAATTGTCATAGTAAAATCACATAAATCGTCATGGTTAAAGAAAATCGTCATCAATTATCATTATTTTTATTACAATTTTTTTTTTGTCACTAATAAAGTATTTATGTTGATGATATATAGTGTCATCTAAAATATAAATAATGACAAAAGTAAAGTTGTCGATAAAAGATTATATTTGATGATGAAACTGATTGTCATTTTTATGCTTAAAAAGTGACAATTATATATTTATGTCATCATTAAAAATTAATATCGCGACAAAGCGAATGTCACAATTTCTACTTTTGAGTGACAAATAAATTATTGTCAAAATAAATTAATTAATCCATGACGACGGAAGTAGTCATAAAATATTAAATAAAATGACTGTGTGAGTTTGTCATTATATGAGCACATAAAGCAACGCATTTTACTGTGATTAAATAATATTTCTTTATTAATAATAATAGTATATATGTGACGATTTAAGTGTCACTATTCCAATTTAAATGTCAGAGTTTTCTAACTGGTCAAACAAAATAATGGCATCCAAACATCGAGTAATAAAGCTTCTGTAATTAAAAAAAATTATTCTGTAATATCACTAACATCAAACTTCAGTATCTTATAAGAATAGGATACTATTCAAGATACGTGAACATCAAAATCAATCTAATACCTAATGTAAATATCAAATAATGAGAAGAAATAAATGAATATTTAAATAACCTAACTTAAAGCTTATAAGGACATTCCTTGAACAGCCATAAATGTCATTATCTTTTCCATGTTTAAAGCTTGCACAGTTAATTGATTTCTCAAATCAAGCATCTCCTTTTCAGTATCTACCACTTTAGCATTAAGCCCGCCAACTTGTGATTCAGACATTTCTAACTGATGGAGTATATGGGTCTGAGCCCCGGGACCCACATACTCGGAAGAACGGAGCACAAGACAACAGAGTGGCGCCCTCGTCGGCCATGACGCCCCCGTCGGCCGAAAAGGTGCCAACTCAGATTACGGTCCTGAGTCTGAGGGACTCGGGTGCCCTCGTCAGCCGCGCCCTCGTCGGCCGTGCCCTCGTCGGCCACACCCTCGTCGGCCTCGAAGACCTCCCAGAATCGGATCCTATACTTACTCATTTGTACAGCCCATTAGAGGCTTTGTATTCGGCCCAGTAGCGGTCCAGTTGTAAATGGGCCTCCCAAGCCCAAGGCTTGGGAGCCCAACCCTAATTTTCTCTATAAATACTCCCCTTGGGAGTAGTTATAGGGGTTACAAATTCATTCTATTGAAGCATATTATTGCACTTCTCTCTCTAGCTCTCACTTCTCTCTAGAATCTAAGAGAGATACTCTATCATTTGGTGCTCTCGTTGAGAGCTGGAACAATCAAGTTAGCACCCTTCGTCGCTACCAAGCACAGCTAACCACTGATCATGGGGAGAACTAAGTCAAACCGCAACCTCGTCAGCAAAGTCATCCCTGAGGACCAAGAGCCCAGGGAGCACGATGAGGACGCCACGGCCGACCAGGCCGGCGGAGGGGATCTCTTCCAGGAGGCTTTCAACCTCACGACGGACCTCCGCAACCAGCTCAACGGCGGCGCCCCTGATGCCCGCCTCGGCTTGGACAAGAAGCGAGCTGACAAGACGGATCACGCCCCGACCCAGCCTATGGCCGCGGCCTCTCCGTCCGTAGATCCTCAGGTCCAGGCCGCACTGTCGGCTATCATCGCCAGCTTGGCTCAGAACCCTACCGTCCTCAGCGCACTCTTGCCAAGGACCGGGGGGAACGTCACTCAACCTCCTCAGCACCAACCGTTGGCCATCCAGATAGGCAACGATGAGGGGGTGGTGCCCCAGGACACAGCGTCGTCCCACTCCCACCCTGCTTCCCCTCTTCGGCCCGGGCAGACCCCAGCGCGTGGAAAAGCCTCCGCCTTCAATAGGCTAGGTGACACGCGCCGTCGTCCGGTTTCGGAGAGGATGGCGGGACGGATTGGTGATCCTCGTCCTGGCTCGCCAAGGGAAAGCTTGGGGTCTGTGTCCCGGACAGCGGACTAGCCCCGCCCGGACAAGGGCAAGGGGAAGTTGCACGAGGATGACGTGCGTCACCAGATCAACGCGGCTCACAACGAGCGCCTGAGGAACCAGCCGGGCGCCGCTGCGGCCGACAGGGACCCCCGGGACGAGGTCATCGCCCAGCTGGAAAGAAGGCTGGCTCAGATGGAGGCCAAGCAGTCGGCCAACGTCCCTACAGCCGGCGCCTCCAACGACCCCGACCTCAGCGCGCTCATGAACAAAGTTAGCGCCCTGGAGAGGGAGCTGGCCGAGGGGCGAGGTGACCCCATCATCCAGGTCAGGACCTGGACCCCTTTCACCAACAGGGTCCTCTCGGCCCCCATCCCTGAGAAGTACAGGGGGAACGCCATCAAGCCCTACGATGGCCGATCAGACCCCCAGGAGCACTTCAGCCGTTACCAGAACAACATGCTGATGGTAAACGCGTCCGACGAATACCTCTGCCGTTGGTTCCTCTCTACTCTCGAGGGGCCAGCGTACGAATGGTTCAACGGACTGCCAGAAGGAAGCATCGACTCATGGCAGGATCTCGCCCAGCGCTTCCTCACTCACTTCGCCAGGAGGAAGCGCGCGAAAAAGTATTTCACCCACCTCCTCTCCGTCAAGCAGCAGCACGAAGAGTCCCTCCGGTCATTCATCGATCGGTGGACGAGGGAGACCGAGGAGGTCGAGGGGGCCGATGAGCGCACCCTCCTCTCCTTGTACCAGGGAGCCCTCCGCAGCTCCCTGTACGCCAGGAGCCTCATCACTGACCCCCGAGGTCGTACGCCAAGGTGCTCCAGCGCGGAGGCTTGTATGCCGACGCCGACGAGCTCCACAATCACAAAAGAGAAGGGGGCCATCCCCCCAAGAAGACAAATCCTTCGCCGGCCCCGGGTCCGTCCCCGGCCGGCCAGGGTGCCCAGGGCCGCCACGGCTCTGGTGGACAAAGTAAGAAAGACCGCCACTGGCGGCCGAGGCTGGAACGGCCGGGGGTAGCCCTCACCCACCCGGTCGGCACCATCCTCGATTATGCCGAGAAGCACGGCCTCATCGAGCAGGCCCCTCGCCGGCCGAGGAGGTCCTGGCCATCCAGCAGGGCGGCACGTACTGCCGGTTCCACAAGAACTCGTCGCACAACACCGACGACTGCATCACATTGAAGAAGGCCATCGAGCGCCTTATTCGCCAGGGGGAACTCTCCCAGTTTGTCAAAGGTGGCCCGCGTAAAAACACTTGGGTAAACACCGGCAGACGTGGGGGCGAACCCTCTGCGAAGAAGCGCGAGATTGGTAGGCTCAGCGACGACGAGGACTTCGAGGAGCCTCCGCCGAAGAAGAATCACATCCACCTCATCGTGGGTGGGAACACTGGGGGGGACTCCGCCACTCAGAGGAAGAAATGGGCCCAATCCCTATACGTTGGGGAGGTGTCCCACGTTCCCCCCCAGCCAAAGAAGCAACGGACGGAGGCGATCACCTTCACCGACAAGGATCTGCCTCCGGGTACGGAATCACACAGGGATGCCCTCGTCATCCGATGTGAGATCGGTGACTCCATCATCCACCGTACTTACATCGATACGGGGAGCTCCGTCAATGTGATGTACTTGGACACCTTCAAGCAGCTGAAGCTGGATAGAGCTCTGCTGAAGCCGATCAAGACCCCGTTATCCGGCTTCACCGGGGACTCTATCGACGCCGAGGGCACGAT